TATAGTATGTCAATTCTAAAAAGCAAAAAGGGGGGAGAAAGAAAGAGCACTGTGTGTGTGCATGTGTGCACACAGTGGTCAGGGAAGGCCTGACTGATTAGATATTTGAGCAAAGACCTGAGGATGTGAAGGAGTAAACCAGGTGGGATAAGGGAGTTCCAGGCAGAGGGAATAGAAAATGGCAAGTGGAGGCAACTTTTATATGTTGCATATCCAAAGTATGCACATTATCAGAACTAATAAGAGAATTTAACAAGGTTGCCAGATACAAGATAAATATTCAAAAACCACTCGGGTTCCTATATAGCAGCACCCAATTTGGACATAGAATGTGAAAAGGAAAAAGATTTCATTCACAGTGGCAACAAAATCAACATAACTATGACTAAAAGTAACAGAAGATACATGAGACCTATGTATAAAATAAATTATATATCTTTATTGATCTAATAAAATCTAAATAATATCTAAATATATGGATTATGTTTATGAATGGAAAAACTCAATATTGTAAAGATGGTAAGCCTCCACAAATTAATGTAGAAATTAATTGGAATTCCACACAACATTGTAAATCAACTATACTTTAATAAAAAAGAAAGAAAGAAATGAAATGGAATTCCAACCAAAGACACAGCAAGGTTTTTAAAAGGAACTTGGTAAACCGATCTTTTTGGATAAGGGCCCAAAATAGCTAAGACAGTTTTGAGGAGGAAGAACAAGGGTACAGGGAGGTACTTAGCCATACAGTATCAGGATGGCACTAGCTGCTGAAAGAAACCTCAACATGTTTAAGGCTCAAATGTGATAAAACTTTATTTCTAGCTTGTTTAAAATCCAGATCTGATGTTCCTGATCAGTGGGCAGCTCTCCTTCAAGCAGCAATTCATAGACCCAGGCTTCTTCCATCTTAGGCTCCCATTTTTCAAGGTCATCATGCATATTTGCATCAAACTGGCAGAAGGGGAAAGAGAAGGATCATGCATGGGAGGTTTTATAAGCAATGCCTAGAAATAGTGTACATTGTTTCCATTCACATCATTGGTCAGAATTCACCCACCTACTTGCAAGGGGGGCTTGCAAGGGGGTGCTGTGAGATGGAGCCCAGCGGTCATCCTAAGAACAAGAAAAAAGAGGTGTAGCAAAGAGTGAACCAGTCTTTGTCACATCTGCCATGTATCAAGATTTCTTATAATCCCACTATTGGGCATATATACCCTAAGAAAACCATAATTCAAAAAGAGTCATGTACCAAAATGTTCATTGCAGCTCTATTTACAATAGCCAGGAGATGGAAGCAACCTAAGTGTCCATCATCGGATGAATGGATAAAGAAGATGTGGCACATATATACAATGGAATATTACTCAGCCATAAAAAGAAACGAAATTGAGTTGTTTGTAGTGAGGTGGATGGACCTAGAGTCTGTCATACAGAGTGAAGTAAGTCAGAAAGAGAAAGACAAATACTGTATGCTAACACATATATATGGAATCTAAGAAAAAAAAAAAAAAAACGGTCACGAAGAACCTGGAGGTAAGATGGGAATAAAGACACAGACCTACTAGAGAGTGGACTTGAGGATATGGGGAGGGGGAAGGGTAAGCTGTGACAACGTGAGAGAGTGGCATGGACATATATACACTACCAAACATAAAATAGATAGCTAGTGGGAAGCAGCTGCATAGCACAGGGAGATCAGCTCAGTGCTTTGTGACCACCTAGAGGGGTTGGATAGGGAGGGTGGGAGGGAGGGAGATGCAAGAGGGAAGAGATATGGGAACATATGTATATGTGTAACTGATTCACTTTGTTATAAAGCAGAAACTAACACACCATTGTAAAGCAATTATACTCCAATAAAGATGTTAAAAAAAAAGATTTCTTATATATAAATATAATCATCAAAACTGTAGTGGCACAGGGATAAATGAATAGATCAACAGAACAGAAAGCAGAACCCAGAAACTGACTTACTCATGTATAGGAAGTTTGTATATGACAGTGCTCACTTCACAAATCAGTGGGGAAATGGGAAACCATGTAACACAGGGTGCTTGAACAACTGGCCATCTATATAGAAGACAATAGAAAATAATATATAAATAATAATAAATATATGGAAGGCCATATATTAAAATCTAGGTGACTTGAAGGCTAAATGTAAAAAAGGAGGGACTTCCCTGGTGGTGCAGTGGTTAAAAATCCACCTGCCAATGTAGGGGACATGGGTTCGATCCCTGGTCCGGGAAGATCCCACATGCCGCGGAGCAACTAAGCCCATGGGCCACAACTACTGAGCCTGCGTGCCACAACTACTGAAGCCTGTGTGCCTAGAGCCTGTGCTCCGCAACAAGAGAAGCCACCGCAATGAGAAGCCCACCCACCGCAATGAAGAGTAGCCTCCACTTGCTACAACAAGAGAAAGCCTGCGTGCAGCAACAAAGACCCAACGCAGCCAAAAAATAAAAATAAAAAGGCAGGCTAAAAATAACTGGAAGAAAGTCTTAGAGAATATCTTGTGGTGGTGTTTAGGAAAAGATTTCTTAAACGTAGGGGAGAGAGCAAATGAGGGGGGGTGGGGGGAACAAGAACCAACCATGAAGGAAAAGAGTGATAAATTTGTCCTTTCTGCTCCATTGTTTTGCCTATTCCTGTGCCAAAACCACCATATACAAAGGCATCCTAAGTTTAAGATATTTAAAAACCACAAAGTGAATGAACATATTTTCAAAATAAAAAAACTGTAAAGGACTAATATTCAGATTATATAACTTCTTCAATTCAATAAGATAGAAACAACCAGCAGAAAAGTGGACAAAATACATCAACAGCTAATATACAAAGGAGAAAATGGAATTTCCCATAAAAAGAAAAGATGCTCAACTTCACTAATAATTGGGGAAAGACACAAAAATGATCAGCAATAAGACACAGTATCATATCCATCAAATGGGCAAACATTTAAAAGTCTGGCAGTACCAAGTATGTATTAATGAAGATGTGGGGAAATGACTCTTGCAAACTACTGGTGGGAGGGCAAATTAGTAAATTAGTGCAACAACTTTGGAGAGAAATTTGGAAACACAGCTTGACAATGTACACACCCCAGGACCCAGCAATCCCACTCCCTGCTATATTAATCAGAGATATTTTGCTCTTACACACAAAGAGACATGCACAAGGATGCTCATCGCAGGATCATTTGCAATTGCATAAGAAATAAGAAAGTAATCTGTACATCTACCAATAGTGGAGGAAAGTTAAAAATTATGGTGTTTTCATACAATGGGTTACTCTTCCTCAGGTAAAATGAATGGACCAGGGCTACATGTATCAACATAAACAAATCTTATAAAACAATGTTGAATGAAAGCAAGTTGAAAATGATTCCATTTATGTAAATATGTACATAATGGTATGTGAAACTTATTTAAATATAAAAAACATATAAAATAATACTATATTTTAATGGACACCTCTATAGTAAAAGTATAAAAATGTGAATAGCAGATACACACCAATTTAGAATAGTAGTTACCTATGGGTAAGTAGCAGTGAAGAAAGTAATGAAAATGAATCAGGAGGAGGGCAGAATCAGATAGACATAATACTATGGCAAAATGATTGCTAAATATGGGTGATGAGCAGAAGGTTTTTATTATATTACTCTATTCTTTCATATATATGAAATATTTTATATTTTAAAATTTAATAAAATAACTTTTAAAAGTCCCAGGGAAGGAGTCTAATTGACCTATCCTGGGTCAGCTGCCCATTTTTGGACCAATCAACTGAGTCATGGAAGAACATGGCTGCTCTTACTCTAGCCATGTATTGGAAGGAGGCTGGGGATGGAGATAGTGTCCTTGAGAAGGGAGGGCATCTGCACAGAACCAAAGATACCGATTGAGTGCTGGTCCCAGGGGCATAAGCAGCCAGGATATATGGGAAATTAACCAGGATACACATTAGAATCCCCTAGGAGCTTCTTTCAGGACTCAAACCCAGACCTGCTGAGTCAGAATTTTCAGGCATTCACATTTCAAAAAAGCCTTCCTGTTGGTTCTGATGGGAAACCCTAGTTAAAGAAAATCACTTAAGGCCTTGGGTTCAAACCACCAAGTTGAAGCCCCTGGCCTAGGCAAGCGGGCCTTTATGCACTAGATAAAATAGTGCATAATAGTGACTCTCTTCCCTCCGAGAGTCAGCCTGTGGACAAAGGAGAGGACGCACACAGGTGGACTGGTTTCTAGGAAAGCCCCACTCCCAGGCTTCATCCTTCAGTAAGTAATACCCTTGGCCTGAACCACCCGCCTTGGTTCCTCTGGGGTTTGGCTTTAAGAGGTAGGTTAGTGAGGAGAGGAACTTGAGCTTCCCTTAGAGACCAAAAGTTTTAATGTCGGTGATTTTCCAAAGCCCCTTTGCATGGTTTAAAATGACAGTAGTAAAAACATTGACTTGCTAATTGCCAGACACTGTGCAGAAATGATTCGTCCAAAGTCCCTAAGCTAGGGGCTGGCAAAGTCAGGACTCAAACCCAGGTCTGTCAGATTCCCAGATCTGTGCCCCGGGGAATCTTGGGTCACTGAAGATTCTTCATAGTGTGGCAGCAACTGGCCTTCTCTCCTTACTGCCTGCTCTTGACACCCCAGAGTACACTCATCTCCCAGCACACCAAGCACGACCTGGTGGTCAGGTGATGATGCTGTCAATGGCTTCACACCCTTCTTATTGTTGCCCTCTTTGCATGGTGTCCCCTGAGTATCCTTTCTACCAAACCATCTATGTGGCAAGTCCTCATGGGTCTTCAAGGCTTTGCAAAATGTATTGGGTAGGCCAAAAGGTTCATTCGCTTTTTTTCTGTAAGATGGCTCTAGTAGCACTTAGTTGTCTTTAACTTCGTTCAAAACAATTTTTTTAGATTGTATGTGACAGCTGTCGTATCAGCGTGCATTTAAAAAAAAAAAGACTTATCAAAATTGGTGAATTTTTGTGTAGCCATTTTAATATTGAAGATGGAAGAAAAAAAGCAACATTTTCAGCATATTATACTTTATTATTTCAAGAAAGGTTAAAAACTCAACTGAAATGCACAGAAAGATTTGTGCAGTGTATGGAGAAGGTGCTGTGATTGATTGAACGTGTTACAAGTGGTTTGCGAAGTTTTGTGCTGGAGTTTTCTCGTTGGACGATGCTCCACGGTCGGGTAGAACAGTTGAAGTTGGTAGCAATCAAACTGAAACAATAATTGAGAACAATGAACGTTATACCACGCGGGAGGTAGCCTACATACTCAAAATATCCAAATCAAGCATTGAAAATCATTTGCACCAGCTTGGTTATGTGAATCACTTTGATGTTTGGGTTCCACATAAGTTAAGTGAAAAAAACCTCTTGACCATATTTCCACATGCGATTCTCTACTGAAATGTAATGAAAACATTCCGTTTTTAAAACAAATTGTGACGGGCGATGAAAAGTGGATACTGTACAACAGTGTGGAATGGAGGAGATTGTGGAGCAAGTGAAATGAACCACCACCAACCACACCGAAGGCCGGTCTTCATCCAAAGAAGGTGATGTTGTGTAAACGGTGGGATTGGAAAACCAAACAATTAATTCCAACAAGTACTGCTCCCAGTTAGACCAACTGAAAGCAGCACTCGATGAAAAGGGTCCAGGATTAGTCAATAGAAGATGCATAATCTTCCCTCAGGATAACACAAGACCACATGTTTCTTTGATGACCAGGCAAAAACTGTTACAGCTTGGCTGGGAACTTCTGATTCATTCACCGTATTCACCAGACATTGCACCTTCGGATTTCCATTTACTTCCATCTTTACAAAATTCTCTTAATGGAAAAAATTTCAATTCCCTGGAAGACTGTAAAAGGCACCTGGAATTGTTCTTTGCTGAAAAAGGTAAAAAGTTTTGGGAAGATGGAGTTATGAAGTTGCCTGAAAAATGGCAGAAGGTAGTGGAACAAAAGGGTGAATATGTTGTTCAATAAAGTTCTTGGTGAAAATGAAAAATGTCTTTTATTTTTACTTAACAAACCAAAGGTACTTTTTGGCCCACCCAATACAATACTGTTGGTTGCTTACCTCTCATCTTCCCCATTCCACTGTGCAGTCCCAAAGGGGGGCACCGATTCACTCATCTCTGTATCTGGAGTTGATAAGCAGAATGTGAGGGGATGAGTGAATACACAAATGAGTGAATGAATCAATGGTAATGGCAATGGCAAGCAAATGGTAGCAATGCAGAGGAGGGGAGTGCGGGGTCTGCAGCCATAGTAACAATGATGTTGCTGTGTGATAGTGCTAGGAAGATGGTAACCATGGCAACACTGATGGTGAGGCCTCTTTAGACAGTACAAGTGCTGCCCGCTGTCCATGCCAAACCTGACCCACTCAGTGGCCAAACAAGATGATGAGTACAAGTAGCAACTGTTGTCCTGCTCCCTGCTCTAAGACCCCCGCCCAGGGCTGAGTTTCACAGTGGTCACACCCTCTTCTTGAGTGACCCATGAGACTCTAGGAACACTGTGTTGGGGGCAAGGAGGTTCAGCTTGCCTGGGTGTGGATATATGTGCACAGGCAAGAAGCAGTAGGATGGGCAAATGTATAAGGTGTGATTTGTTCTAAGGACAATCTTCGTGTGTGCACTCGTGCCTGCTGCGAGTGTATTAGGGGAAGAGGGACAGTTCCATATATGTGTGTGGGGCACGGCCCGATGTGTAGAGGGCTAAGTGTGTGGGAAGGGGGAGTCAGCCTGCCGCGTGTGTGGCTGCAGTGTAGCGTTTCTGGGAGGGCGCCATTGTGGGGGGGGGCCGTGTGCGCGCACACGCGCGCTAGCTTGAGCTTCATCGTGGGGGGCGGGGTTCCGGGGCTGCGGGCCGGAGACCCTCGGCCCACAGCGTACGGGGTGGGGGTGGGGGGTTGGGGGGTGCTCTGCCCATCCATCGTCCGGAGCTCAGCGAGCGAGGCGGATATCACAGTGTCACAGGGGCTCGGCTCGCAGATCTTATCCTCTTCATTTCCGCCTGAGCCAAGCCGGCCCGCACTAGCTCCCTGAAGGCTCCATCCATCATCATGGAGGGAAAGATGAGGGCTGGACGGGGGTGGGGGTGGACTCTCAGATGGCGAGGAGAGGGAGGGGGTGGCGGGAACCAGGAGCACCATCGGACACCCGAGAAAGGCATCGGGACAAGTTGGCGGGGGTGGGCATTTTGGGATCTGCTCTTCCCCGTGGGGGAGGAGATGCTCTCTTGGCCCTGGCCGGGATGAGGGACAGCGGCCGGACTCAGCCCTAGCCTGGAACACCACGCAGGTTGCTGGGGTCCGGATCCCTGGTGCCTGGCCTCGCTCTCCCAAGCTGGGGGGCAGTGTGGGGAGGGAGCGTGTCTCCATTCCAGCCCTAGGGAGAGGGGTGTATTAAGCGAGGGTCCGCACCTGGACCCTCCAAGGTGGCTCCGGGCTCGGGGCGGCGTAGGCGGGGGCGGGCGCCCCGAAGGGAGGCCTTATTTCATTTCCCCGCACTGCTGAGGTTTCTGCGAAGTGTCTCTCTCACCTCTTTAAATTTTACGGCGCTTGGCTTGTGGCCGCAGGCCCCGCCCTGGGCAGGAAGTGGGTGCTGAGTCTGGGAGCCTCCCCGGCCAGGGGGTGACTCCACCAGGCAGGGCGTGGGTCAGGCCCGGGGTGCCCGGACTCTGCGGGGCGGCCAGCCTGCGACCCCTCTCTGGTTCCCCCGGGCCTTCCTGGAGGGGGTCTGGATTGTCTGGGGCCAGGGGTAGGGTTTGCCTCGTAGCTTCTCAGGCCTGGCCCCGCCCCCTTTTCCAGGCTCCTTCATAGGCCACACCTCCGTCCTCCAGCTCCCAGTGAGTGTTGGGGTGTGCGGGGTCGAGGAGGGATCCTGGAAGAGGGAATAAGAGGACCAGAAGTGGATATCAGCCTTGGGGCCCCGATCTAGGTCAGGTACACCAGTGCAGTCTGCAGATGAGGCAGGTAAGCTCTGGTCCCTGATGGACGGGCCTGGCACCTGCTAGGAGATCAGGTTGGGGGCTGGAAATGAAGGGAGGGGGCATGGGGAGGCAGCTGGGCCCCAACACTTCCCTCAGGAGCCTGCTATGACTCCTTACCAGGATCAATTAGTGGGGGCAGGAGTGTGGTCTTGCACTGGAGAGGATGAAGGAGAACAGGAGATGAATGTGAACAGGAGTGGGGCTTGAGGGAGGAAAGAAGTGTGAGCAGAAGGGCATGGAATGTCAGAGGATCCCGTTAACTGGGGGAGGCACTGCCCATAGACACCCAGCCAGTTAGAGTCAGGATTTGAACACAGTTATGTCTGACTCCAGAGCCCCCCTTTTTTTTTAATTAATTAATTAATTAATTTAATTTTTGGCTGCATTGGGTCTTTGTTCCTGCGTGCAGGCTTTCTTTAGTTGCGGCGAGTGGGGGCTACTCTTCGTTGCAGTGCGTGGGCTTTTCATTGTGGTGGCTTCTCTTGCTGCAGAGCACGGGCTCTAGGCGCGTGGGCTTCAGTAGTTGTGCCACGTGGGCTTAGTAGCTGTGGCTCACGGGCTCTAGAGTGCAGGCTCAGTAGTTGTGGCACACGGGCTTAGTTGCTCCGTGGCATGTGGGATCTTCCCGGACCAGGGCTTGAACCCGTGTCCCCTGCCTTGGCAGGCGGATTCTTAACCACTGTGCCACCAGGGAAGCCCCAGAGCCCCTTTTTAAGATTTGTAATCATCACCTTGATTTCTCTACAGTTTACTTCTTGTTGATACAGCCCCAGACTATCCAGTCAAGCAGCCACAGACATAACTTTGTGACAAGCACATAACCAGAAGGAAACAAAAAGCACAAAACAGAAATTTGGCTCCACTGGCCTGGGAGATGTGGAGCCAGTGGCCCAGCAGGGAGAGACACTAGCTTCCCAGATTGCCCCTGGTCGGGGGCTCTGGGACACCAGGGCTGGTTCAGTTCAGAGCAGGGCATGGGAGTTGGGGGCAGAACTGCAGCTGAAACTGCCCGCCTGGTAGTTGAAGCCTGCTGAAAAAGGCTTTGAAACATTCTTTTTCTGCGTTGACCTGGAGAGGACATGTCCTGGATAGCACACTCCAGGGAGCTCAACCACCAGCATCTGTATGAGGAAAATTGGTCACCTCCACATGACCCGGCAAGGGTCTGTTGTGGCCGCCCCTCCCCTACTCCCACACCTGCTCCTGGCTAACACTCCTGTCTTTTCACACTCCTCACAGCCAATCTCTCACCGAGTCCTATGGATTTGCCCTTCTAAACATCTCTCAAGTCTGTCCCCTTCTCTCTTATCCCTGCCACCTCAGTCATCGTACTCCTTACTGTGGTCTCTCCTTGTGTTATTGCAACGAGCTCCTATCCGTCCTCGATACTATGATGACAATAGGGCCCTGTCATACCCTTTTAAAACCCTTTAAGGGCTGCCAGCTGCTCCCAGGATAAAGCCAAAGTTCACAGCGTTGAGTTCAAGCCTGCCTTTCCTGCTTCTCTCACTTCGTTTTACGAAAATAACCTTACCCCTTCATGCTTCTGAGCCTATTGCATGTGGCGCCCTCTGCCTGGAATGCCCTTCCCTCCCTTCTGTACTGGGCTAGATTTTTGTCACCCCAGGCCCAGCTCAAGTACCTCTGCTCTGGGAAGACTTCCTGGAGGGAATCCCTCTTCTGTGCTCTCATGGCCTCTGTGCTCCCTTGCCCCCTGGTTATAATTGGCTGTTAGGATCTGTCTAGGTCTTGCACTAGACTAATTGCTCACAGAGGGCAGGGCCCTTATGTCACATAGGAGCCTGAGAACCTGGCAGGAGGAGTCAAGAGGGGATTGCTATTGAATGATAAAGGGGAACCGGTATTGTTTGGGACCTAGCACCAGGCTGCCCCCAGCCTGTTTCTGGACTTCCTTGGACATGGGACCCTGGGTCCGTGATACTTGGGGTGTGGGTGAGGAGGAAGAGGCTGGTGAGTGGCATTGTGAGCTTGTTTGAACATTATCCCTTCACATGAATTCTCTTTCCTCTGAATCCCTCTCACACTGCCCCCAACGCTGCAGAAGACCTACCTGTAATGAGGACTGAAGATTTAGGAATGTTCCAGTCACTGCCTGTGGCTTTTGCGTCTTATTGAATAGGGTGACTGGTTGTCATGGAAACCCGAGTGCAGGAAGCTCCTTCTGGCTCCCTTCCCAGGGTGGAACTGCGGGCTGAGTGCCCTCTACGGCCTCTGGCTGAGCTGTTGCCAAGCTGGCAGCTGGTGCTGGATGGCTGGGGCCTACCCACTCTGGGCCAGACTGGGTCTCATCATTCCTTCCTCAGTAGAAGTTTGTGGGTTCATCCCAGAGTGTTGACCCGAGCCTGCACCACACACTTCAAGGCCGTAACCCTATAAACATGTTTCTTCTCCTTTGGGGACCAGCAAACCTCTGGATAAACTCAGGTTCAGGTTCTGGAGTCAGACAGCATGGGTTCTAGTCTTGACTCTGACACTGCTTGTGTTGCTGTGTAGTCTTGAGCAAGGCATTTAATTTTCTAGGTCTCAGTTCCCTCATCTGTAAAATGGGGATAATAATAGCATCATGAGATTTCCACTTTTGGTAAGATGGTGAACTAGTGCTCTAAAAGGCCCTCCCACTAAAATACAACTAGATTCTGCATGAATTACAAAAACAAAAAAAATAAAACAAACCATTATTTTTAATGCATTGCTGGGTTTGTCAGAAAGTAAGGGAAATCTCTAAGGACTAAATATCCTCTGCCAAGAAAAACTCAACAAGACAGTGAGTAACTAAAACTAAAGCATGGAGTCATCACTAACAGGTAAACAGGAAAGTCAGGCTAAGTGTTGAAATAAGCACTGTGATAGGCAAATTAAGTCTAGGGCAGAGGCGAGGTGAGAGAACTTAACTTGAGACTCCTGAATTGTGCCCAGGTCTCTTGAAGGTGGCTAAAGTAGTCCCAGATTAATAGCAGCCCCGACTAAATGCAAATGCCATCAGTATGAATGTACCTCCAATTTAGGCCCTCAGGATTCCCACAGGTTAAATTAAAAATATGAGCTCACAATCAGTGCTCACCAAACTACAAGGAAACAAGCCACTATGAGTGAGAGTCAGCAATACAATAAACAATACGCTGAGACAATACGCCCTTCCTAAATACTTTGGCTATTGGAATTACCAAATACAGAATATAAAACAATCATGTATAAAATGTTCAAAGAAATACAAATGGAATCACATCGCAAAAAAAATGTGGAATAAAAACCTGTCTACAATGGCCAGAAGATTTGAAAATAAACCAAATAGCACTTGTATAAATGAAAATTATAATCAGTGATATAAAAATCTCATGAGATGGACTAAATAGATTAGATGCAGCTGAAGAGAAAATTATGAACTGGAAAGTAGATCTGAAGAAATTACCCAGAATATAGCACAGAGAAAAAAAGAGATGTAAAATATAAAAGGAAGTTAAGAGAAATGGAGACAAGAATAAGAAGGTCTGCTATGCAGCTGAAACCCACAAGGAAAGAGCAGAGAAAGCTAAGGTGAGATTATATTTGAAGAGATAATGGCTGAGAACTTTTCAGAACTTGTAAGAGAAGTGAATTCACTCCTAGACACATTGTAGTAAACTTGCAAAAGACCAAAAATAAAGATAAGAACTTAGAAGCAACCGGAGAATAGAAACAAGCTGGTTATAAAAGAATGGCATTTAGACTAACAGTAAAATTATCGATAGCCACAATAGAAATCCATAAGAAATGGGAAACTATTTTCAAAGAGCCAAGACAAAATAATTATTGACCTAGGTTTGCATACTCAGTAAAACTATCTTTTGAGAATGAGAACAAAATAAAGTTATCTTCACATGAACAAAACCTGAGGGATTTTACCACTGACAGACTTTCATTAAAGGAAAGTAAAAATGATCCCAAAAGGAAAGTCTGATATACAAGAACAAATGATGAGTAAAGAAGTGGTAAACAAGTAAGTAAATTTAAACAAAAAGTGTCTGTATAAAATAGTGTTAATAGCAGTAATAATGTCTACTTTGTGGGCAAAAAAGAAATAAAAAGGTAGAACTCAAATACTGGATGTCAGTCACATACAAGTTGGGAGAGGTGATTGGAATTAATGTGGTTTAAAGTCCTTGAATTATCTGGGGATGGCAGGGGGACTAAATAATTATTAACCCTAGACTGTTTTTAAAGTTTGAAAAATAAAAATTTAAGGGTAATTTCTAAAAAATAATAGAAAAGGAGTATGTAACTACCAAATCTGTAGAGGAAAAGAAATGGAGTAAAAGGGGAAAACCTCTCAACTTTTAAAAAAGTGAGAAAGGGGAAACAAGAACCATGGAAAAGATGGGTGGATCAAAAAGAAAGTACAAAATTAGATGGCAGATACAAATCCAGATTTATCACTAACTGTAAAAACTGTAAATGTGCTAAACTCTTTAGTAAAGAAACAGACATAATATTTGAAATATTAAATATTTTTAAAATCCAGCTGTATGTTATGTACAAAAGTCACTCCTAAAACATAAGGACACCAAAAGGCTGAAAATAAAGGCATTCAAAATGATACATGAGGGGACTTCCCTGGTAGCCCACTGGTTAAGAATCCACCTTCCAATGCAGGGGACACGGGTTCAATCTCTGGTTGGGGAACTAAGATCCCACATGCCATGGGGCAACTAAGCCTGAACCCTCTAGAGCCCGCACACCACAACTAGAGAGCCCACGTGCCACAGCTACTGAGCCTTCGTGCTCTGGAGCCCGCACACTGCAACTACTGAGCCCGCGTGCTCTATAGCCCACATGCCTCAACAAAAGATCCTCCATGCTGCAACGAAGATCCCGTGTGCTGCAAATAAGACCTGACACAGCCAAAT